AAAACTTCAATAAAGATCTTTTTTTTAAAACAAAAGCTCATCTAGTTCAACCCCCTGAAATGCAGAAATCACAGCTAAAGATGATGTGTGTCAGGTGCAGACATCCCCATCCTCTCTCTGATGTGAACAACTCTGCCACAAATGTGGCTTGAAATGCAGCGGGAGGAATTAACTCACTGCGTTTCTAGCCTTGGATGGGAACATAGCTTATGCAAGCCAGGTCTATATAAAATCTGCTGAAAGTGGAAATCACCAATACTGCATAGTAATCCAGCTTGAATGAACCAGAAATTATACACGGAGCATTCCTTACCTTCGCTTGCTGTGAGCAAAGGTAGGAGAACCCAGCTGTACAAGAGGCAGGTTATAATGGAAACCATTAGTTCTTTAAGGCAGCTTGACAGGCATAGGAATGCAGAGTGGCCTCATTTACCCTCTTTATAAAACCCTCTTGGCCACTCCTTCCTGCCACAACTACAAACACCTGATTTTTGCACATTGGACAGGGACTGAGCAAACGATATATGCATACCTAACTCCTGCATTGATATTCATGTACGTTTCAGACTACCAGTTCAGTGGCTATTAAGCTAAATGATGAGGCAACACACACACACACACACACACACACACACACACACACACACACACTGCTTCACCACCCTGTCCACAACATGCAAAGATGCAAGAGGTTTTGAGCAATTTTGTGGGGGTGGATGTAAGGAATGAAAACGTTACTTTTTCATAAAAGGCCCAAAGGTCGCAAGTTGCAGTAGCTAAGGAAAAGGTTGTGACAGCCAAGTAACCGCAACCTCGCTTAGAAGCTTACCTTTACTGGCAGGGGGTTAGAATGCCTGGAAACAGGGTGGTTTTCTGCTAGAATGTGGTTTATCTGGACATTTCAGCATGCTTCAGCAGGACAGAACTCATGTCCGCCTAAGAGGCAGTTGGGAAGTGGCTTTATCACTTGGGTAAATGTGTAAGAGCATAGGAACACACTTCCTTATTTGGCCAAAAGTAATTAAGGGTGATGGTCCCTGAATTCAGAGGTATGGGAGATGTCAACAGAGGCAGAGAATTTAGTATTTTAATTAGGCGGTCATGATAAGATGCGAACCCTGTACGCCCACAACCAACGGGGAGGCAGAAGAGGGACCTTGCACTTGGTTGAAGGAAATATATGCTCGTGTTTTACTGAACTTGGGTGTGCCTGCTTTTGGACACCTATCCTTTTAAAAATGTGTAAGCAATAAACTCTTTGTTGCTTCACCAATTTTCTTCAGGTTTTATTCTGAAGGGGTCCCAGGACTCAGAATCTTGGGACCTGCATTTTATATCTCACAGTGGAGATGCAACAGTGGGGCAAAGTTAGCATCGATCTGGCTGATGGTGAACACAATTTATATTTAACCAGGAGGCTAAGGGCAGGAAACATTATTCTTACTCTGATTGGGCTTTAAAGGTAAACGGACCATTAGGTCCAGTCGTGACTGACTCTGGGGTTGCGGCACTCATCTTGCTTTACCGGCCGAGGGAGCTGGCGTACAGCTTCCAGGTCATGTGGCCAGCATGACTAAGCCGCTTCTGGTGAACCAGAGCAGCGCACGGAAACGCCGTTTACCTTCCAACCGGAGCGGTACCTATTTATCTACTTGCACTTTGATGTGCTTTCGAACTGCTAGGTTGGCAGGAGCAGGGACTAAGCAACGGGAGCTCACCCCGTCGCGGGGATTCAAACCGCTGACCTGCTGATCGACAAGTCCTAGGCTCTGTGGTTTTAGGATTGGGCTAAAAGCTTTCTCTGTGCAAGGCTATCTCCTTTGGGGGGGGGGTGGAGAGACTTGTCAAAGTGCCTTCTAATCAGCCCATTCCTACACTGGCGAGTTTAGCTGGTGCAGCAGAAGCAGCAGACATCCACTTAATCCTGAATGTGGCCGCCTGGACCATATAACACCAGTCTTAAAGGATCTACATTGGCTCCAAGCATGTTTCTGAGCACAATTCAAAGTGTTGGTGCTGATCTTTAAAGCCGTAAATGGTTTTGGCCCTGCATACCTGAAGGAGTGTGTCTACCCTCATTGTTCAGTCTGGACTTCGAGACCCAGCTCTGAAGGCCTTCTGGCAGTTCCCTCATTGCGTGAAGTGAAGTTACAGGGAACCAGGTAGAGGGCCTTCTTGGTAGTCCTGACTGCCCTGTGTAGGCTTACCATATTTCAAAAAGTTAAATTCTTGGCACCCCCAAAGTTGTTGAACTGCCCTCCCTATCCAGGCCTATCCAGGTCTCATTTTAACTATTTCCGGTGCACCCTCCCCTCCCCATCTCCTCGCTCCCCCCCTCCTCCAGCCAAGGGAAGTGACCTTTCATCACTTCCACAGCTGCCAGGGCATGGTCTCCCCTGGAAAAGTTTTTTTTAAAAAACACCCAAAAACGGGGGATGGGGGGGACAGAAAACCAATAAAAACCTGGGTTGCCAAATGTTTGGGGAACTCTGGATATCTCTTAACATTAAAAAAAAATCCTCCTGGATGCCATTTTAGGCGTCCAATTTCTGTACATGTCTGGAATTTCCTGGATGTATGGCAAGACATCTAAAGGCAGCCTTGTATAGGGAAGTTTTCAGTGTTTGATGTCTTACTGTTTTAATTTGTTGGAAGCTGTCCAGAGTGGCTGGATTAGCCAGTCAGATGGGTGGCATATCAATATTTGTTGTTGTTGTTGTTGTTGTTGTTGTTGTTGTTGTTGTTGTTGTTACCGTAGTGCAGGCATGGAATGTCTGTTGAAGGAAGGTTGGGGGGATTTGCTTTCTTTTGTTCTGCCTAAAATGCATTTTAAGTTTTTTCTCTGTGAACCATTCTCTAATGCAGCCACGGACAGACTTTAGACTTGTCGTATCTTCTTTGCTTTTTACTAGATCCCCAAGATCTGCCAACCAGAGCCAGTTACATAGAAATACAGTTAGAATTAAAGAATTCTGAGCCCAGGATTGAAAGAACAGGGTGCCTCTGAGAGTAGGAAACTTTTTATGATACTGGAAATGACCTGAGCTCACAGTCCTTTCATTTAGTGGTTCCAATATCTGATGCTTTACATGCTAACATATTTACAGTTTAATACCAGAGAGAGGTGGCAAAAAGTCTGAATCTGCAACTGTATACAAACTTGTCTGAAAATAAGCCCCATTGCACTCCTTCCTTTGAGGCAGACACACAAAATGAATTCCTACCTCATTATATGGAATCCCAAGCTTGCAAAGGTCTTTCTTCACCTCTTCCTTTCTGGCAGCAGTAGCTGCTTTTTCACCCTCTGAGAGACCTTTAGAAATATGGACCTTTACCCTGCCAAAAAATACAAAACAGATCTAACAGAACAGCAGGATATATGAATCATATGAATTAATGAATATTTATATCTCCTGGCTGTGATGTCGTACAATCGATATTTAGTAATCTGCAAGCCACTGTGCTACATTTCTCCCATGAATGGTAGGTTCTATTTGTAGCTCCTGGATAAGTGGTTTTCTAAGTAACACCATCATAACCTCGCTAGAGTTGCAGCTATCTTTCTGTGGCCCCAACAAAATTGACTGGTTTTTTTTGGAGAAATAGACATGTCAAGGAGGCCCTATACAGAACTGTCAGAAAAGCTATCAATTTGGGTCAGCAACTCCTGCCTTTTCCTTCTGAAACTTGGGCTATTCTTCTCACGTAGCCCACCATGCACTTTATAAATTAGGTCTGGTCTTCAGGTGCAGTGGACAATGCTATTCCATTGAAAATTCAGAAGTAAGATTCAACTAATGGTCCAATTTGCTTTTTTACATGAAATGAGGGTGGGTATCATCTTCTCCTTTACCCCAGGAAGTAAAATGTCTTGGGCCACCCTACCTGCCCCTGGATGTAACTGATATTCCATGCCATCATATTTAGAGAGCCAGTGTGGTGTAGTGGTTAAGAGCGGTAGTCTCGTAATCTGGGGAACCGCGCAGTGGCGTAGCGTGGGTTGTCAGCACCCGGGGCAAGGCAAGTAATTTGCGCCCCCTAACCCGTGGATTTGCGCCCCCTAACCCGTGGATTTGCGCCCCCTAACCTGTGGATTTGCCCTAACCCCAGATGTTGCGCCCGGTGCGGCCGGCCCCCCCTGCACCCCCCACGCTACACCACTGGAACCGCATTCGCGTCTCCGCTCCTCCACATGCAGCTGCTGGGTGACTTTGGGCCAGTCACACTTCTTTGAAGTCTCTCAGCCCCACTCACCTCACAGAGTGTTTGTTGTGGGGGAGGAAGGGAAAGGAGAATGTTAGCCGCTTTGAGACTCCTTAAAGGGAGTGATAGGCGGGATATCAAATCCAAACTCTTCTTCTTCTTCTTCTTCTTCTTCTTAAGGGAAACTAATAGTTCCAAAATCCATTCTTAAGGAAATCAGCCCTGAGTGCTCATTGAAAGGACAGATTGTGAAGCTGAGGCTCCAATACTTTGGCCACCTCATGAGAAGAGAAGACTCCCTGGAAAAGACCCTGATGTTGGGAAAGATGGAGGGCACAAGGAGAAGGGGACGACAGAGGACAAGATGGTTGGACAGTGTTCTCGAAGCTACGAACATGAGTTTGACCAAGCTGCGGGAAGCAGCGGAAGACAGGAGTGCCTGGCATGCTCTGGTCCATGGGGTCACGAAGAGTCGGACACGACTAAATGACTAAACAACAACAACAACAATAGTTCCAAGAAAGTATGGAGGAGATATTTTGCCCATGCTGATTCTTAAGTTGTTCCATGTCTTCAGAATGTGGCAAGCCAAAGATCTTAGAAAATGAGCCAACAAACTATAGCATTCCTCCCAAACACACCCACAACAGCAAAATTGGGATAACTGCAACAGCTGATGCTTTCAATTAGTTAAATCCGTCAGCCTTGCAAATAGAAAGCCTGGAGCAGCAGCTGTAAGGCAAATATTGAAGGGATCGTATTACTTCTAAACACATTCCCTCCCACTCTCCTGAGTCATTCAGTACTGGCCAGTAGCAGAGTCCGGGTAGAACTGTGGAATGCTGAATCTCGTGCAGGAAGTCAGCTTAAAGTGAAGAAAAGAGGAACACCGCAGGCTCAGTGCCTGCCAGAAATTTAAAGCCCTGACATTTAGAGGAAGCCCTTCGGCTACGCCATCATTTGAGTGTAAAGGCACTGAACCGACCTTGGAGAAATAGGGAAGAGAAGATGGCAAGTAATGCAACTGGGAAGGTAAGCTATACCTCTGAGAATTAGCAGTGCACCTGTCTCTGTGCCAGCCATCATGGTACCCTCAAAATGTTGTTGAACTCCCATCAACCCCAGCCAGCATAGCCCATGAGCAGGGATGTGGGTAGTTGTTGTCTGTGAGTCCATTTTATTTGTTAATAGCTGTCACAAATATATAGTCTGTTAGGTCTTAGCATAAGTGGTTGCCAGAACAATGTTATTTATTGAAATTTTGTCTTCATCAGTTGGACTGCTAAAGCAAACATTAAAAAAAAAGTAGTATATTTCTCATCAACTGCCAACAACGAAAATGTTTTCTCCCTACTATTCAAAAAAGGGAACTTTGGAAAGTCCCACATTTGTCACCCCTAACTACCAGTTGGCATCTCTATACTTTTCTACAGGAATACTTCTCTACAGCAATTGTGCTCAAATTGTGTGGAGGGGCTGGGGAAGCTGTTATTGGTCTATATCTCCTGTTATCCCAGACTATTGGCTATGCTGGCTAAGGGTGATGAGAGTTGGGCATACAGCAACACCGAGCAGGTATATTATAGTAGACTCAGCCAAGGGTTGGTGTGCACCTTCATTTGCTACTGTTCCCACATGGCAAAGTAGATATTTGAATGGAAGCATCTCACACCTCCCAAATAAGGAACAGTGTGATGTGAAACAACCCAGTGTGGATATCACTGTACAGAGCTGGGGAACACAGCCACAGATGTCATTGCTTCAAATGAAGATACTAGCTTTCTTGGCTGAAGGCCAACACATGGTAATTATCAAGTGCTCTGCTTTGTACATGTTGGCATGTGACTGTAAGTGTTCTGTTGGATCTGTTTTTTATTTTTTTGGCAGGGAGAAGTTAAGGTCCGTATTTCTAAAGCACTCTCAGAGGGTGAAAAAGCAGCTACAGCTGCCAGGAAGGAAGAGGTGAAGAAAGGCCTTGGCAAGCTTGGGATTCCGTGTAATGAGGTAGGAATTCGTTTTGTGCGTCTGCCTCAAAGGAAGGAGTTCAATGGGGCTTATTCTCAGACAAGTTTGTATATGGTTGCAGCTTCAGACTTTTTGCAATCTCTATCTGGTATTAAACTGTAAATACATTATCATGTAAAGCATCGGATATTGGAAACACTAAATGCCATTGACTGTTACCTGCCATATACAGTCGTACCTCCGCTTACGTATCCCTCTGGGATTCCATTCTGCTCAATTCAAGAACTCAACACGTCTTCTCCACTGCAGACACAGCCATTTTGCCTGATTAGTCGCATGAGCCAGTGTGGTGTAGTGGTTAAGAGCGGTAGTCTCGTAATCTGGGGAACCGGGTTCACGTCTCCGCTCCTCCACGTGCAGCTGCTGGGTGACCTTGGGCTAGTCACACTTCTTTGAAGTCTCTCAGCCCCACTCACCTCACAGAGTGTTTGTTGTGGGGGAGGAAGGGAAAGGAGAATGTTAAGCCACTTTGAGACTCCTTAAAGGGAGTGAAAGGCGGGATATCAAATCCAAACTCTTCTTCTTCTTCTTCATGACACGTGCACTATCGCCTACGTCACTTCCCTCAGTAGCAGAACACAAACTTTACGAGTACATCTACCTCACAGTTCGCAGTTGCGGTCCGTGTCATCGGCTGTTACTGTTTTGCAGCATCTGGAAACTGTATAATTCATTATGAATCACCCTGTATTTAATTCAAAGACATCAAAGTTGATGTCAAACAATATCTAACCTACAGAGGTTACCTACTGAGTATATCTGCATTCCTTCCATTAGGACCAAATCCCAAATATTGCTGTCCTGGGATCAGGTGGAGCTGTGCGGGCCATGATTGCTCTCTATGGGACACTAGCGGAGCTGAAGAAATACAACCTCTTGGACTGTGTGATGTACTTGGGCGGGGTGTCAGGTTCTACCTGGTAAGTGCAGAGTGGTAGAAGGGAGAGCAAATACAGGACTTAAGAAGGTAGAATTATTTGCCTTGCTAGCTAGTTCAGATGAAGTTAGAAGCCATCTTGGCAAGTAAGTGTTACATTTATAAATACATAAATATGCTTTGCCTCACCTTTCACAGCCCAGTGCCCTGCAGTTATTTTGAACTACAACTCCCGACAGCTCCAGCTACTCCAATAATAATAATAATAATAATAATAATAATAATAATAATAATAAATACCTCAGCCACTCCGGACGGCTCCAAACAGAATAAAAAAGTGATAAAATATCACACATTAAAAACTTCCCTAAATAGGGCTGCCTTCAGATGTCTTCTAAAAGTCAGATAGTATTTCCTTGACATCTGATGGGAGGGCGTTCCAGAGGGTGGGCACCACTACTGAGAAGGCCCTCTGCCTTTTGGTAGCTTTTGGTAAATGATATGGTTGTTTAAGGTTTAAGAATTCATATAGATCTCTCTCTCTCCCCCCCTCTCTTTTGCATAATGCTAGAATCCAGGATCATCCAATGTGGGGAGATTCAGGATAGATAAAAGGAAGTGCTTCTTAATACTGTGCATAGTATGGAATTCTCTGCCACAAGGTGCAGTCGCTACCACCACTCTGAGTGGCTTTTAAACAGATTCATGGAGAATAAGCTTATTAGTAGCTTCTATTCATGATGGCTAAACACTATTTCCAGTATCAGAGGTCCAAAGTCTCTGAATAACAGTTGCCGAGGATCCAGGGTGGAGTAGGGAGTTGCTATTGCAACATGTCCTATACATGGGCTTCCCGTAGACATCTGAATGGCCAGAGTAAGAACAAGATGCTGTTCTGCTATGGCCTGGGGAGGTTTGGCAATACCAGTGTTGCAAGAAGAAGTCAACCTTACACAGTGACTGACAGAAGCTAATGTGCCAACAAGCTGGTTTTACCACATGACAACAGCGTTCTCATTGCCCGGTCCTACAAATTCCTTCAAAATATATTCCTAATGAGGGTCACATCTGAAATCCTTCCATTTTTTCCAACATAAATGTTCTATTTCATTAAAAGGTGCATTTCAGCCCTTTTACTTCTAAACCACCTCTAAATGGCTCGTGCCCAGATAATAACACCTTAAAGAAAAGCACAACCAAGAGAGATAGACAAGTTTAGCATCCAGCAGGAACCCAGTTTATGGAGAAATAAGCTATTGAAATAGGACAGCTTCCAAACCAGAATCATCAGTTAGGAGAACTACCCAGAAGGCAATACATCATTAGCTCATAGGATGCATACATGAAAGGAGAGGTCAGGGAGCTAAAACTGTCTTGCTTTACTTTATCTTCTTCTGTCCATCAAAAAGTCATTAACATACCATTCTTATATCTTCCCAAGTTTTAGGGAAGATCGAGGAGATACTAACTTAAACTTCCTGACCATCTGTGCCCTTGAGCTACACAAACAATCCTTCAAGGATAGATAAGCAAGAGATACAGTGATTCAGTAGTTTGCACAATGTGGAAAGACGGAAAGAGAGACTGTTACAAAATGCAGGGATACAAGAATTAAACCACACATTGATACATAATTCTATACAGTGGTACCTCGAGTTACAAACCCCTCAGGTTACAAACGCTTCAGGTTACAAACTCCACTAACCTGGAAGAGTTACCTTGAGTTGAGAACTTTACCTCAGGATGAGAACAGAAATGATGTGCCAGTGGTGCAACGGCAGCAAGAGGCCCCATTAGCGAAAGCACGCCTCTATTTAAGAACAGTTTTCAGGTTAAGAACGGACCCCCAGAACGAATTCAATTCATAACTAGAGGTACCACTGTATAGAGAATAAATGCAATTACTATGGGATAGATACATGAAGCAGCTAAAACAGAATCCTTGTGTCAAAATTTATGTATTAAACATTACGCAGTGGCAGCCACTGACAGAAGATAATGTGCCAACAAGCTGGTTTTACCATGTGACAACAGCGTTCTCATGGCCCAGTCATATGAATACATTCAGTGCTGGATTTATGTATAAGCTAAATAAGCTATAACTTAGGGCCCCACTCTCTTGGGGGGCCCCCAAAAAAATTAAAGGAAAAAAATTACAATTACTTTGATAAAATACATATTTTGGTTTGTGCAAATGGCTTTAGATACCTATTAGGTCCATAAATTACCATATAGCATAAATTCAACACAAAAAACAGTGACAATTTGTTGTTGACAAAGGACAGCTGGACATATAAAGGGCCCCATTACCTTCAGTAGCTTAGGGCCTCATCAAACCTGAATCCTGGCCCTGAATACACTCCAAATGACAAGCACAGAAATCCTTCGCATGTTTTCCAACGTAAATGTTCTGCTTCATTAAAAGGTGCATTTCAGCTCTCTACAAACATGAAGACTGGGCAGAAAAAATAGAAGCCTTAGAAAAAAGTCAGTGTGAAACCCTTGTCAAAGGCCAGTGGGAATTTCAGAAGGCAATGAAAGCTGTGATTGGGGCTGCGGAAGATGAATGTTACTCTTTGACTGATTTCTGGTCCTATTTCCTTGTGCATAAACTGCTAAACGAGGTGAGTGGAGAACTGTAGCACACACACACACACACACACACACACACACACACGTACGTACGTGTTCTTCTACAGGGGTGGGAAATCACATTTCCATCGCCACATACCAATGGTGGGCAGGACCAGGGCTGTCTTAAGCATATGTGGCGTCGGGGTGCAAAGATCCGCCCGGCGCCCCCCCCCCAGGTTGCCCAGTCCCAGGCGTGCAGGAGGGTGAAGCCAGTTGGCTGCCTCAGCATCTTGCTGGCTCTGTCGCCCCCAAACTTGCGGCGCAGAAGAGCCCCCCGCGGCGTTCCAACTGATGGGCGGGCTCTTCCTCGGACTCAACACTTGGGCCCCGGACTCTCGGCCTGGTGCCCCTGAGAGCCTGGTGCCTGGGTGTCCTGCACCCCTAGTGCCTATGGGTAAGAAGGCCCTGGGCAGGACCAAAGCCAAAACTAGGTGAAGCAACAGATATGAGAGGCTCTGAGGGGTGTGGCCTGTAGAAAGACCAGGTGCCTAGGAAGGACTGAAGGGATATGTGTATATGTTATTATTAGTAGTATTAGTATATTATTTCACCCACGTGGGTAGAAGTGCTTTGAGGCTGTGTTATACATAGCATTCTTGGAAGACCAGGGTTGAAGCTACCTTTAAGGAGGGCCAAGAGTAGTTTGGAAGCCATTTAGGTATCAAATTAATTTAATTTAACCAAATGCCTGCATTTCAGCTTGATGAGTCTGAACTACCTGTGCACAGGGGAGCTTGTGAGAATGGGAAAAATCCTTACCCGATCTATAATGCTGTGGACAAGGAAACCTATGAGCAACAACATGCAGGTAATTATATCTATTCAGACATACATATTGTGTCTAAGAAAATCAAAACAGGCAGATGGCCATTTGTTGGAGATGATAGCAGTCACGTCCTGCATTGAGCAGGGGCTTAAACAAGATGACCTCCAAACTCCCATTCAGCTCTGTTTCTATAACTAAGTTATGCAAAGTAAAGGAAAACTAGTGAATGGAATCCAGGCATGCAATTAATTAATTTTAATTAACATCCAGCCCACTTCCAGTGTTTGGGGCAGACAAGAACATTTCCCTCACAGTGTTAAAATCCCCAGAGTTTTCTGGGAAGAGGGACTGAATATTAAACCACTCTGAGAATTGTAGCTCTGTGAAGAGAATGGAGGTCTCTTAAATCTCAGCACCATTGACAATCTATAGTTCCCATGATTCTTGGGGGAAGCCATGACTTTTAAAAGTGGTACGATACTGCTTTAAATGTATAGTGCAGATAAGGCCATAACTATCTACTCAACACCCAAATATTGGCTCTGCAAATACAGTGGTACCTCGGGTTAAGTACTTAATTCGTTCCGGAGGTCTGTTCTTAACCTGAAACTGTTCTTAACCTGAAGCACCACTTTAGCTAATGGGGCCTCCTGCTGCTGCTGCACCGCCATAGCACGATTTCTGTTCTTATCCTGAAGCAAAGTTCTTAACCTGAAGCACTATTTCTGGATTAGCAAAGTCTGTAACCTGAAGCGTATGTAACCCGAGGTACCACTGTAGCCAGATGTATCAGGACAGAAAACAGTTTTACTTAATTGCTGAGTGTTAAAATGGCTAATGCTGAAACCCTCACTCAGATTCCCCAGGAGCAAGGAAGGTCCACTGATTTCAACAGGTTTTACTTCTGAGTAGACATGGTTGGAATTATGCTGTAAGCTGTCATTCTGCCTCTTCATGATGTAAATGTTAAAGTAGCACATCTCTTCCTATTTCACCATTTAGATGTGAGAAGTCTTTACTCACCACCCTGAGGGAAGTTACTAATCTTACTGAAATTTGTTTCAACTTCTTTCAAAATCCCAACAGATGTTTCTCTTGTTGCTGTAAGGGAGATGTTGGTGGCAGGTTTGCTCATATTTCCCCTGGGCATCCAGCCCTTCTCATATCTTTCCCTCCAATCTTTTGTTTGTTTTCCAGGCACCTGGTTCGAATTCACCCCACACGAAGCTGGGGTTCCTGGCCTGGGAGCATATGTAGACATGAAGCATTTTGGGAGCATATTTGAAAATGGGCAACTGACTGAAGAAAAGAAGAAAAGAGATATCTGCTATTTGCAAGGTACCTGACCTCCCTCAGTATCTTAAGAGGATGCCATTCTCAGAATGCCAAATTCCAAGGAAAGTAACAGATTCTGTGTTCTCATGCCCAATGAATAGGAATGTAGAGGAGGCTCCTGAATGTCTAGATCAAACAAATAAGCTATGTACCAGCCACTCCTTTGTCAGATGTGTGTGAGAACTACAGATGGAGGATGAATCTTGAAATATACTCGGAGTCTAATGTTGATTTTATGCTCTTTATTTCAGCTCATGTCAAACAGGGAGTGAGTCTTCCCCAAAATCTCTGCCTATGTATACATTATTTACACAATGGATCCCGTTTTATTGGCTGATTCAACTCCCCTCCTGGAGCCTGATTGGGCTGCTGCCTTCTAGGATCCTACTTGCCTATTGTTCTAGGATCCAAGCTCAGTACATAACAAATCTGTTCAGTTTGCCTGCTAATGTGAACCTAACAAATTTGTACTTCATGAAACATAACACACCTCTCCTTTGGAATTGGCCCCTTTCCAATTTTTGTGACACACTTCCCCAACTAAACAATGCATACAAAAGTACATGCACTAATGAAATGGGAACACAAACATACGCTTAGTAGACAAAACTGTGTTTAAAATTGGGTATGGTAGGACAAATGTGCATGAGAATGCATACAAATATTCTTGCAAACCCCCCTTTTTTTTAAAAAAAATAAACATTTATTAAGAGACCAGAAGCTGCCTTATTGGGCATTATGAAAATATACACCCCAAAAGAAAGCAAAAGAGTATTTCTATACGCAACAACAGCTGCTAGAGTGTTAATTGCCAAATATTGGAAAGGGGATTCAATACCAACTAAGGAAGAGTGGCAAATGAAATTGTGTAAATACGTAGATCTAGCCAAAATGACAGAAGCAATAAGAAATCACTGGAACGTAAGGTTTAGAAAGAGAATGGGATTGTTTTAAAAATTAACTGTGTGAACATGGTTCCCAAATTAAAACTCAAATGTGCCTAGATTAAATTTTACAAAACAAATAGACAGCTGGATAAGATATCCTACATAAAGAGAAGGTTGAAAGAATACTAGAACACAGTACAAAGGAAAATGAAATAGAGATGATGAAGCTGTAAAGAGGTAGGGGGAAGTCAAATATTGTATTATGGAAATGAACAAGTTTAGAAGAGTAAATTATGCACGTAAATGAAGAAGAAAAGATGATGTATATCTATAAATTTTAAAATGCAACAACAGCAGCAGTAGCAGCAGCAACAACAACTGCAAAAATGGGCAAACCGAGCTTAGCATTGGAAAAACGGGAAATTGTGAGAAAACAAATTTAGCAGATTTGTCCATCCCTAGTGAGGATAGGTTACAGCAGAAAGCCCTGGTGCTAACAACCCATACAAAAATGGGCTCTTTGTCTGTGTGTGATTACATTCATAACCGTCCCTTTCTGTGCTGATATTATGTCATAAAAAAATAAAATATTAACTTTGTCGTTACTTTTACTGCCACCAGGTAAAACATATGATTGTTAATGCCACAGCATTCTTATTTTTAGGTTTATGGGGAAGTGCCCTTGGAAGCGAACAAGAGCTCTATAGGACTATAATAGGTATTGCTCTTTTATCTTCTTTTTTAAATATGGCTCTGTGTGTATTCTGAATTATAAAGTGGATTGGGGTTTGTTTTTTTCTGGAAGGTTTCCTGCATGAAAACCTGTGGGTGCAGGTTTAATTCACTCTGGAGGTGGGATGGTACCTGCATGTTTCATTCACTTTGGCCAAAGAAGAAGGGAATCTGGGGACACTAGCCCTTTGCAGTGATTCAAAGCTTCACTTAGTTTTAGAAGTGGCGAATGCAGTATCTTTAAACCTGTATCTTGTCTCTAGGACCTAAGCTCTAGGTGAGCAAAGGCTGACTAGTGATTATGGTTTTGTTGAAATGAGGCACCATATTTTGTCAAAATGAAAATCGAAAATTCGAAGTCTGAACAATGTATTGGTTGTCCCCTCCCTTTTTGCAATCTGAATGTTGCCAGCTATTTTGCTACTTGTTGCATTTGGGAAAGATGGTTTTTCATACTGTTCAGAGGCAGTTTGGCTCTGTATACTAGTTGTTCAGAACCATGAGCAGGGAGTGTGCTCTTGCAAGCAGATATCCCAAGCCAACATTTAGACATTAGGTTGGTAGGCCAATGTGAGAACAGGATGCTGGATCAGAAGACCCTTTGACTCTTCTCATTGTGTGTGAACATGCACATTTCTTTTTCAAGATTCTTTGCTGAATTATCTAAAACAAAAGAGATCAGGAGACTCTTCCTCAACTTCAACAAACTTAGGTAAGATGTTGCAACCAACATTAATATCCTGGTCTCCCTTGTACTTGGATTTGATTTCAAGTTCAGTTGTGTGTGTTAATGTCTATAACTCATAGTGTTGAATTTTTCCTGGTTTTTGTTTGTGCTTTTCTCATGTGTGTGCTTGCGTAAGACTGTGTTGCTACCCACCCATATGCAGAGAGTGTTACAGGGTGCACAAGTACTAAGGTAAAGTTAAGGACGCGGGTGGCACTGTGGTCTAAACCACTGAGCCTCTTGGGTTTGCCGATCGGAAGGTCGGCGGTTCTAATTCTCACGACGGGGTGAGCTCCCATTTCTCTGTCCTAGCTCCAGCTCCCAGTTCAAAAGCATGCCAGTGCAGGTAGATAAATAGGTACTGCGGGAAGGTAAACAGCATTTCTGTGTGCTCTGGATTACGTCACGGTGTTCTGTTGCACCAGAAGCAGTCTAGTCATGCTGGCCACATGACCCGGAAAGCTGTCTGTGGACAAACGTTGGCTCCCTTGGCCTAAAAGCGAGATGAGTGCTGCAACCCCATAGTTGCCTTTGACTGGCCTTAACTGTCCAGATGTCCTTTACCTTTACAAGTACTACATTAGTGATGTCTAAATTCCCTGACAGAGGACAAGGATCCTGAGATCATTATTAGCGTAGCCAAATTCTGTGTGTTTGCCATTAAACTTAGGGAACAAGCTGTGCTATCACAATGATTAAGGCCTTAAATGTTAATTTTAGGTTATATGTTAGCGACTAAGTTTTAATTTCTTTATTTTTTAACTGTTGCTATATCTGTAGTGTCCCTGTTATACCTAATTGCAAATTCAAATGTATTCCTATCGTGTTTTATATCTTCCTTGATATTGTATGTGGGCTGGAACTGGTCTGTGACCGAAATAATAAATTCACTTCACTACATTAGTGTCTATTCCATCAAGGATGAAACAAAAGAATGGCAAAGCTTGTGGTGCCCCCAGGGCATTTTTTTGGGAGGAAAAACAGGCAGAAGGGGCAAGATCAGTTTTGCCCACCTGAAATAAATTGTTGAAATACTCTACCAAAGTGATGGGAAACCTGTGGCTGTTTTGATGTTATTAGGCCTTCAATTCCCACCAGCCCCAGATAGCACGGCCAATGACAATGGATGATGCGAGTTGTAGCACTATAATATCTGGAGGGTACCATGTTGATCACTAGAATATGTGCCTAAGGGTTTCAACAGGCTGAGATCAATATTTCTCAGGTTGAATTCAGTAATTGCCATCATCAGCCTCCAAACTTGGTGAAGTATTGCTGGGACAACTGTGAAGCATTTCCCATGCCCCTCCACCTAACCATGGGATCAGAAAAGGTCTAATGTTCAAGAAATATATTCCTGACTAAACATCAGGAAGAACTTTCTGATGGTAAAAGCTGTTTGATGTTCAAATGGACTCCCTCAGGAAGTGGTGGACTCTCCTTCATTGGAGGTATTAAGCAGAAATTGAATGGCCATCTGCCATGGATGCTTTAGCTGCGATTCCTGCATGGACTACCATATATAGGTTGAACAAGATGGCCCTTGGGGTCCCTTCTAGCTCTACAATTCTATGATTCTATAGAAGTATTTTGTATTATATGAGTATTCTTCTGCTTTATGGTACAATCCTATACATGTCTGCTCATAAGTAAATCACACTAATTTTGATGGGCTCTACATACATACATGTGATGCGGGTGGCGCTGTGGGTTAAACCACAGAGCCTAGGACTTGTCGATCAGAAGGTCGGCGGTTCGTACCCCTGCGGCGGGGTGAGCTCCCGTTGCTGGGTCCCTGCTCCTGCCAACCTAGCAGTTCGAAAGCATGTCAAAGTGCAAGTAGATAAATAGGTACCGCTCTGGTGGGAAGGTAAACGGCATTACCATGCGCTGCTCTGGTTCTCCAGAAGCGGCTTAATCATGCTGGCCACATGACCTGGAAGCTGTAGGCCAGCTCCCTTGGCCAATAAAGCGAGATGAGCGCCGCAACCCCAGAGTAGGTCACGGCTGGACCTAATGGTCAGGCATCCCTTTACCTTTACATACATACATCATTTTATTTGTATGCCACTTTTCCAAAGTATAAACCATGCGCAAGGTAGCTTATGACATGAAAAAGGTGTGTGAGTGGCAGCCTTTCCACAATGCACAACCACCCCATGTGAAGCAATAGTATGTTTTCAGCTAACAGCATGAATCAAGCAGTACACAAATAGATTTTAGTCTAGAATGTTCCACTTCCTCCCAACATCTAGCCATACTATTTGTTGTTTGTGCCCTTAGGCCTTACTCAAAGTCTGTTTTGGGGTGCAATCAATGAGTGATTTTCTTCTAGATCAGGCATCCCCAAACTTGGCCCTCCAGGTGTTTTGGGACTACAACTCCCTTCATCCCTAGCTAACAGAACCAGTGGTCAGGGATGATGGGAATTGTAGTCCCAAAACATCTGGAGGGCCAAGTTTGGGGATGCCTGCTCTAGACACAGAAGTTGAGAGGAGGTGGAGGAGGAGTAACTTTACCAGCAGGTGGCAGCAGAGAGGCTTCAGTGGCTCTGCAGCTCTAAGCTAATGGGCATCGTTAACCCAGATCTACCGGTAAATCAGATGCCAAAATAATTTAGTCAGTCTTAGAGACTATGCACCTAGACTTGGAGGTAGAGTGGAGTTGCATATGCTGTTCTGCCTCGAGCAGCAATATGTCTTAAGCCAGGCCTGAGTATTTGTAACTCTCTTTTGTATGCTCGTTTATTGCCAAGATCAAGATGACCAGAAACTTAAGACACTCTATGAGGGTTATCAGTCCATTCTAGAGCTTCACCTCTGTGAAACATCAGATGGAAGGACAGCAGATAAGCATTTTGACCACCTCCGCAACATTTTGAAAAGTAAGTGAACGTCAGAAAAAATCCCAAATATTGCTGCAAATTAAGATGAGTTTGTTTAATATATTATATTTGTTATGCCTAATAAAGCTTTGGTGAAGTAAAAGTCTTTCATGTACCCTTAACTATTGCTCATTTTTCTTTTCCTGCTTTAACACTCCATGTCATTTTGTCTGCAAAAATAGACCATAGTTCCAGCAGAAGCTATGAATTGCTTAGAGAGATCTGCAAGACCTGGTTTTCTGCTAATGCGGAAACAAGAAAGAAAGACTGTATGAGACTGTGTCAAGCACTGGACCTGGATTTTGGAGGCAAGTGTAATAGCAACCATACGTTGCCTTTGAGCAGCTGTTCTTCCCGAAAGTCTCCTCAAAGATATCTGAGTTTGGTAGTACAATGTAATCTGGAGGAGTGTCTCTCTTTATTCATCTTTTTATGCCCAAGTGTTAGCACCTCTTCCTTCCCCATTTTTTCTTCTTTTAAAACTTATCCACAATAACAGTGCATGTCATGGGGTTCAAAAAAATCTGCTACTCTTTGGACCTTGGAAATCCATTTTACCACTAAAGAGTTGTAATGAGTGAAAAGATTTGCAATGGAGAGAATTGAACGTGGTGCCCTCCATAAGTTTTTAGATTCCAGTTGTTGTTAGCCTGAGCCAGGATGGCTAATGGTCAGGGCATGATGGGAGTTGTGGTCCATAACATCTGGAGGGCACTATGTTGGCACTATGTTGGCTATCCCTGCTATAGAACCAAATGATCTGGGGTTGATCTCAGACAGACTCTGGGATGACAACTTGACTGGTTTAAGATAGATTCATTCCATGTTCAGTCAACCAGTCAGTCATTTTATTTGGATGCTGCCTTTCCAAAGTTAAAAAAAATGGTGAAATTATTTTTTCCCATTCTTGACTCTGAATATTATCCCCTTTTAGGTTTTTCCAGTGATTCCCTCCGTGTTTTACATGATGTGGTGAGAAAGACGTATTTATGCCTTTTGAACTGGACATGGGGAAGCACTAATAACTTCCTGTACCACTGCTGTAAGCATATGTTGCATTGATATTATTATTTTTATATATGGATACCACTGTTCTGAATGTTATGCTCTTGGGCTGCAGCAAAATCTCTCTCTCCCCCCAGCCAAATATGGCTACCCAGGAAGAGACAGCTTGTGGTAACATATAGCTGCTTCCTGGAGCATTTCCTGATAATATTCCTTCCTTCCTTCCTTCCTTCCTTCCTTCCTTCCTTCCTTCCTTCCTTCCTTCCTGTCTATTATAGGATCAGTAACTAGGTACTTAGCTATAATTATCTGAACCAGCCAAGGCCTTGGCACTTACATGTAGCACAGTCCACCAGCCACTTATTTACACCTGCCACTTTTTGCCTGAATTCCCAGAGTTGTGAGCCCATAGCTCCATGAATGTCATGAAATAACCTGGTTATGATGCAGAGTGTGATATCTGTATCATAGATAAACACAGCTCATTGCATACATTGCTCATGGCCTTCAAGGAAACCACAGGCAAAGGGTTATGGTTTGAGAAGTTGCCCACTCATTGCATCTGTGTTGGAGGTACCTTTACTATAGATGAGTGGACTTGATTTGGGATGCCGATGGCAGGTTAGCAGGACTTGTGCACTTGGCTCAGCTCTCAAATCCTTTACATGGGCTCAATCCACTTACCACCTTTCATCAGCCTGTAGGCATTTTCTGATGCAGAAATATGACAAACTGAAGACTGGGGTGGGGTCGGGGACTGAAATTGACAGATTTGCCCATATATAAGCAGTAGTAGTATTGGTATGGATTTTTAATAACTAACTTAATAACTACCTAGGCAGCAGGTTGATATTGATTCCAAAAGCTTTGTATCGATGCTCTGTGTTTCACTTCATATGTCTAGTGGATGTTGAATGTCCTGACTTGACAAGCAAACAGGTTGTCTCTCTGATTGATGCTGGCCTGGCGATAAACGCTGCTTACCCATCCCTTCTTCAGTCTGAGAGGAAAGTGAAGTTGATCCTCTCCTTTGACTTCAGTGCCGGAGATCCTTTTCTGGTAAATTCATTTAATTTACAGGGGCATTCAAACATGGCTAAAATTCTGGTCAAAGCATAATTCTGTTAGGATTCATTAAACAATATTACATAGGCTTTGGTATCCATCTTTTAGGTTTAAATAAAAAAAAATTAGATAGGAGAGTGGGATGTTGGTAGTCATTTTCAAATATCTGAAGGGCTGTTACATGGAAGATGGAGGAAGCTTGTATGCTACTGCTCCAGAGGTAGGACTTGAACCATTGGATTCAAATTACACGAAAAAGATTCCAACAAAACATTAGGAATAACTTTATCATGGAAAGAGCCATTCCACAGTAGAATGGACTGCCTCAGAAGATGGACTCCCCTTCATTGGAAGTTTTTTAACAGAGGTTGGATGGCTGTCAGGGGTTCTTTGGCTGCTGTGCCTGTATTGCAGGAGCTTAGACCTCATAACCATTGGGGATCTCTTCCATCTCTTCAATTCTTTGATTCTAATATGTTGTTATCTAAAACTTCCTTCTGAAGATTCCTTACCAGTATCTACCACGGCATTACTCCTTTTTCATGCCACTCTGTGATATCAGAAGTGCCCTCCCATCTGATGTCAAGGAGATACAGAACTGCACAATTTTAGAAGACATCTGAAGGCAGCCCTATACTGGGATGTTTTTAATGTTTGACATTTCATTACATTTGGAAGCTGCCCAGAGTGGCTGTGGAAACCCAACCAGATGGGTGGGGTAAAAGTGCTCTGAGACTTCCTAAAGCAGCTTAGGAGGGAGCCTAACTGTATCACTTCCCATATCATGATGGTAATGTCTGAAGGGTCCCTAACAGCTGCCCAGGAAGTAGCCATGAGTATTCTTTTCAGCCAGGTGCTATTTACCCAAGTGGATATGGCAATTAACTATAGACTTTCTCCTTCGGTTCAGACCATTAAGAAAGCCATTAAATACTGTGAGGAACATGGAATCCCATTTCCCAAGATCGATGAGAGAGAGCTGCAGGACACGGATGATTTGAAGGATTGCTATATCTTCAGAGGAGATGCAGAATGTGTCCCAACTGTCGTGCACTGTCCACTGTTCAACAAAGTCAACTGTTCAGGTAATGTGTTGATGAGATCCATTTGGTAAGTGTGCAGTTGATCGGATAGTGGAGTTAAAAAATTATCAAGACAAAATAATTGGATACATCATTTTATTTCTAGTGCTGAATTCCTTCCTTATGCTTAAACTGAACCAATCTCCCTGTAGTTCTTACTTCCTTTTGCTAGCAAGGTTTTTACAGTTCCAGCATTTGAATTTCCCATACCATCTTCCTTTCTCCAGATTCATACAACTCTTTGACCCACCAAGCAAATTTAATTTTATTTGGCTCAGCAAAACTCCAATTTTCATTAGTGATGATGGGGACCAAATTCAGAATTAGAATAGGATCACTGGAAACAGAAGAAGTCTTTTATCCTCTCTTTCAGTAGGACAGATGAGTCATGCTCAGTGTTATAATTTTTCCCTACAGTTAATGGAATATGTTTTCAATTCCTTATAATTCATTAATACACAGCAACTCTCATTTTCAGATAAAATCCATGAATACAGAGAACAGTTTTCTACATTCAAGATGAGCTATTCAAAGGAGGAGATTGAAAAGTTGCTCACTGCAGCAAAGCAAAATGTAGCAAATGTTCACGAAAAGATCTTGGAGGAGATCAAGAATGTTGTAGGTCCTCCTTCATAAAGGGCTTAAGTAAAGTTTTTTCCTCTTCAACATTTGCTTGACAACGAAGTTCACATAACAAGGATTTTTCCTCTGCTAGAGTTCTAACGTTTGTTAGCATCATGGTTATTATCGGCTCAATTTGTATCCGCTATTCTAAAAGTATCAGATCAGTATATATATCACTGATCAATAAAAACATAGCATATATCAATGGCCTCATTTGGACACAATGCTGAAGTTTGACTTGAAATTAAATTAACAAACGTTGGGATTTATTGCAGTTAGGAGGGGACCCAATATTGAACTAACTTCAGTTTATTATTTCTGAAACTACAAACTATGGTTAGTACCTATACAGTGGTACCTCTGGTTATGAACTTAATCCATTCCTGAGGTCCATTTGTAACCAGAAACCACTCGTAACATGAGGTGCGCTTCCGCTAATGGCGCCTCCCGCTGCTGCCGCGCTGCTGAAGTACGATTTCCACTCACATCCCAGGGCAAAATTCACAACAAGGGGCATCTACTTCCAAGTTAGTGGAGTGTGTAACCCGAAGAATTTGTAAGGGGGATGGTTCGCAACATGAGGTACCACTGTAGTTCAGGGGAAGAAGAAAATCTCAAATTGTCATTTATGTTCCATCTGTGGTCAGGAAATGGAAATCAATCAAATAAAATTGGCATCCATTGTTGTCTTTAAGTTCTCAAATGATGTGTAATGAAATACCTTTTAAAAATTGTTTTGATGTATCCTTTCATTTAATGTGATATAAGTTACATGAGTTACATAGTTACATGAAATAGTGATTGTGAGATGAGTAAATGAGTATTTGGTGGTAACTGAACCACAGCGAGATGGAAACACAGACTGTGATGAATACAGGTCAGAACGAAGATTACTGCCTTCTTACGTCTCTGGTTGGCAATGAAGCACTGGCAGTAGTAGATAGATACATTTGGACCAAAGGCTATACCTGAGTCTCACTCAGATATATAACATCACATGTGCTCTATTCACACATTACTCATGTGTAGGGCTTTGCTGTGTTGAAGAAGAAGCAGGACCATGCTTTTAGCCTTGCCTTTACATCAGTACTGCAAGAACCATGTGCAGTGTGTGGTTGAGTTTTCTCTGTGATGTGTGAATACCTGCTCATGACTCCCACATGACTGGGAGACCTGCACAACTGGTTGCCCTGATTGGTGGGAATATTCATGTGCAGATCCTTGCAAATGGAAGTTTAAGCTGTTGATAACCACAAATAGCAAGCTTTTACTGCAGAAAGGGGTAGTCATGTCATGGAGGGGGCTAAAAGTGTGGCCTTGCTCCTCCAACAATGTGGCAAAACTCTACACAGGAGCAGCATGTGAATAAGGACTTTGCTATTCATGTATACCATGACATATCCTCACCTCCCCCCATGAACTCAGGCTATCCCTTGCCATTCAAAAGTTAAGGACAAAGTTTGCAAGCAAATATGCTCCTCATAACTCAAACATGCACCCATCCAGCATGTGACCAAGTTAGACAAAGACTCCTTGTGGTTACAGATTTTTTTTCTTGTCACACTCTTAATTAAACACCAGTACTATAGCAAAAAGCAAGCATTTTTAAACAAATTTGCCGAACGTTTAATGGGGAGAGAAAGAGCAAAAAATGTGAAGAATCTTAGTTACGGTGTGGAACATATCAACATCAATTCATCCACAAACAAATGACATGCTGTTCAAGCAAAGAAGAAAATAAAGTTCTTTGATGCACAAGTTTAACACTATCAAACACAGAACACATTTGCCTCACCCTGCATGAATGCACAGAATCTTTCCTCAGAACAATGCGTTGTGGAGCAAGAAACTGCAGACATGTTGCAATCCTTTTGTCAGCGTTCCCAAACAACTCCCTCTGTTTCCCCATTTGCACATAAGCCTACTCCCATCAGAGCAGGGCATACCTCTTAGCCTCTGCAGCCCAAGCGTGTGGATGAAATTTTGGAACAGCAATTATTTGTTTATTATTTCATGAAATTCATACACCACTTGATTGAAAAAGAAAATACCTCAAAGCTGTTTACCAAATAAAACATAAAACCATATTTAAAGCAATTTACTTCCACGAGAATGTGTGGTGATTGCATCTGTATATATTTGGTATGTAACTTCAAGTCAGAATTTAAAGAGCTGCGTTGGTATGTTCAGAATTCAGAAGGCTGTTTTAAAAAAGAAGTCCTGCCCAAGAATTGATCAGGGATGTGTGGCCTGGGCAAGTTCAATTATAAATTTATAGGAGTCAGATTTCTCAAAGCAGTACTAACCTAATTCCTAATGATTTCAATGGGACTAGATAGTGGGCGGCCAAACTGAAGTTGCTGGGCAGCCAAACTCTGACCATTGCTGGCTGGGGTTGATGGGAATTGGAGTCCAGAAACATCTGGAAGTCCAGGCTCCTCACACCTACACAATAAACAGATATTCTGGCTCTAATGTATTCAAGTCTAATGTATTCTCCTGATCCATCCCATTATTTCTGGTCAACCATACTTAAGACCTTGCAGAAAAACACTCTCCCCCCCCCCCAAAGATATATATTGAGATTTTCAAAATGTTACAAAATATAAAAAGAAAAAAGAAAAATACAAAATAAAAATAGTTAAAAACAATTCCATCTTCATTTACTTAACTTTCATTTGCTTGTTTCCCGGACTTCCTCACCCCTCCCTTTTTTGTATTCCAATTCAATTTGTTAATTCAGCAAATCCTTTCCCACTTTATTTATCCTAATCTTTCATTACATTACCTTAATCTATTTTCATCATTATCTTATAAAAAAACCCTTAAAATTCAAAACTTAAATCTTATTTTTACTAACTTCTCATAACCATTGTATTCTTACCTAATCCTTTAAATATTTTTACTAAAGCCAAGCAATTTCCTTTCAAACATCCTTCTAACATTCATCAATTATATAAAACAATCCTAATAGCAAAATAAAGGAAATAAAACAATCCAATCTTCATCCAGCGTCCCTTCCTCCTGGTCCCGGGTTTTGTCAGTCCATTTTATCTCATTGAACTAGCACATTAACCTGGTAACCTTATATCCGAGGCCCTTAAGTCTCTTCCATGTCCCTTCCATGATTTTTCTTCATATTCTCCTTTCACTCGTGTGAACTCCAACTTAATAATGTTTTTGTCCCTTTTCAACAAATCAGCCCCTTTTCCACAGTCCAGGCTGAGCTCCATGTAGTATTTAAAAACATGCTTCAAAGTCCCTCCAAAATTGGGAGCCCCCATAACTCCAAACCTCTCACGGCCCATTGCCAGACTCGGAAAGTCCATAGATCCCTGCTCAGGGGGGGTCAATCCAACCCCCCATTTCCAAACCAGTCCAAACTTTATCTTTCCAAGTCTGATTTTTTCGAAGATCAATTGTCAAGTCCAAAGGCTCATGTTCCTGCAGGGCCGCAACTTCCTCCATCTCTGGCTCCATCTCTGGCTCCCAAGATTCAGCAGCATCCTCTTCTTTCATCTGTTCTGTCAGGGCAGACTCCTGGTTTGATTCCTGGGTAGGCTCCATACCTTTTCCCACTGCCTGTTCCAAATTTCCCACTGCCTGCTTAAGATTTCCAACCAAGTCAGTCATCAAATTCGTTCTCTCATGTAATTCTTCCAGTAGGGCATTTGTTTTGCAAAAAGCACACAACAGCACTTCTGAATACATTGTCCTTCAAGGTCACCAGTCAATTCCCACGATTATAATCTGTAGCGGCTGGAAACTCCCTGGAAATAGTTACAATTTCACAGTCTCCCTCTAGGGGAAAAACTTCTATTGCAAATCCAACCACAAAGTTTCTTTTTTTGAGATACTTTGTCAATATTTGTTCCTTTAAAATGCGAAAGGAAACAGTGGAATCACAATGTTTCTCTTCTTTTAGCTATCTGTCAAAAGACTTCTGTCTCTGGTCAATGAGCTTCAAACGTCAGTCCTGACACCCGCTCCAGGGTCAGGACGGTGGAAAGTTACTTTACTTTAAACTTACTTCTGCAGGTTTAAACAGTCCAAAGAAAAGCTCCCCCTTCTCCTCCTGCTGCCGAAGGGGGAGTTCAACTATTTTAGATGATGAAATCCAATCCTTTAATGATGATTTTCAAGGCTCTAGTTTACTTTGTCTTTGCTTTGTTCAGTCTACAAAGAAACGGAAGGCTGACTTCCTGTTTAGACCTTCCCGTTTCAGTACCAAATTGAAGTAAATTTTAAAGACCGATTCCTTTCTGTTCCCAATTCCTTATTTAAAGTCCAATTGTTCAAAGTTTGAGTACTCACGGGTGATTATTTTTAAAAGCCAAATTGTCCCAAGAAGAAGGCAGCGCTCTCCGGCAACGGCTATGCGGCTTCGCTCCACGGAAAGAGCAGTTGACTCACAGCACCGCGCCACTTCCCCCTCATCGCTTCAGAGCCCGTTAGTGGGTTCCTTTGCGGGTTGGGGGGGCGCTAAGGGTGCCCGCCGAGTCCCATGGTCACAGGCTTCATCCGCCTGTGATTTTTTAAAGGGTCCCCGCTTCGCCGTAGCGGAAAGGACCCGTTTCGCGCGGAGCTTGACCCTCCAGTTCAGAGGGAGTCCGCCATTGCCGATGGCGCCACCCCGGAAGTCCCCCAGAAAAACACTCTTTTATGGCACACAGATTTGGCTGATGTTCTCTTTGTTTCCTTTTAAACACTGAATAGTAGTTTATATTATTTTATCGGGTATTTAAATTGTGGATTTTAATATCTGATTGTTGTTTTTTATGATGTTTTTACCAACTACTACTTCTAAACTCCACCACTCTTTTCATTATCTGCTTTTATTATGATAAATTGTATTACACACAGAGAGAAACACAAGCACACACATATTTAGTGTGTTTCTAGTGTAGGTTACCTTAGGAAAGCTTTTGAAGAGTAGCATCCAAGAGTCTGAGATAAATATGCATATCATGGCTTCATGTAATGTGTTTTGCTAAGCACCTATCTCAGAGGTGTTTCTGCATAGACCAGGGGTGGCCAATAAGGTGCCCTCCATCGTCCCTGATCATTGGCCATTCTGGCTGAGGGCTAAATTGTATTCAAAAACATCTGGAGAGCACTAGGTTGGCTACCCCTGGTTTGAACAAATAATCTCCTAAAAGTGGTGTGTGTGTCGCAGAGAGTAGCCCTGTCAGGAACCACAGGGGCAAAACCCTTCTAAATACATTTTTGCATGGTCCTGTGACAAATCATGCATCAACAGAACAGTTAAATCTTTGTAAACACAGAGCTATTTGTCTCTCTGACATCTACTTTTGCTGAATCGTTCATTCAGATCCACTTTTTGTTAACCCCTTAGGCTTTCAGTTATGCCATTTATTTTAAGCCACACCAGCCTTGGTATCTATTTAGTGTGGCAACTTAACATTAATCTGCATTGACAGACACACAATCCACATACAAAAGCTGTCTGGGTTGGCAGTTGAAGCTTATCTCAACAGCAATGGAATAGCATGCATCACTGGGTGGGTATCAGGAACAGGTCAGCAATAATTGTATTAGTGAAGTTAACTCCCTTTATTCAAAGAAAGAAAACAGCTCAGGAGACTAGGCCCAGTGAGCAGAGCAATTCTTCCCAGCAGATCTTTTCTGAATTAGGCAGTTGTGAGGAGTGAAAGTCCCCTGGTTCCTCCCGAATCAGTCTGAGGTTCCTTCAACTTGCTTATCATTGCTCTGCCCTCTTCATACCTCTTCATGTTCTGGAAGACCAGGGAGGAGGGTAGCAGCCCATCACAGGATGGGGAGACAGCCTGGCTTCCTCACTAGCCTAATTCACTGCTGCCTCTTGTCCCCCCCCTCTCAATCCTCCTCTTCTGCCTTTGGTTCTTGACTGCTCTCTGCCACACACTCTTCCTGCCCACTAAACCCTGTTACTTCTTCAGCTGCCAACACCTCCTCTTCCCAGTGTGCTTAATCCTCTCCATCTGACCACATCATCGTCCCACCACCAATCTGAACCTTCCTCATTTCGAGTGAAGATTCCCTTGTGGGGTTCTCCAACTAGTGCCTCCCACCACTCCTCTGCATCTAGCTAGCCCATTACAATGGTCAGGTCCATCTTAAGTATATCAGACACCATGGTGCAAAGTTTCCCCATTTCCCAGAGTTGCCAAAAAGTTGGGGGAAACGGTTGGGGGGGGTATGCGAAAAATCCCTGTGTGGGAGAAAATCTTGAAGAGGGGGAGGTGGTTTAACGCAATAGCCAAACTCCTAAGGAGGCAACGGGTGGGTTTCCTTCTCCCGCTCCCTTGCTGACACACTAACCGCACTCCTTGCACCCCTCAGTTGATCTCCGATAGTTTTAAAGCTGCAGACGAGTGACACGACCGTAGAATAGACCAAGGCTTCCACGCGGTTCCACTCAGCTGAACCAACTGCAAAATACCTAAGACAAAAACACAGGACAGAAGTGAGAAGCAGCAACCGCGTTGCGAAATTCCTCAACTGATCGGCGGCAAAGAGGGAGCTCCTCTGCCGCGCTTGCCTTAAATGTGGCAAGCCACACACCCCGAGCCAGCCAGACGTGGCAGAGGATTCCCCAGATCGCACGGGGCTGGAAGCCCGCAACACGCAACACTACCTCCTCCCAAGGTCGGAAGTGGATTTGCCAACCTTTTTACGGTTCTGCTGGCAGCTTTGCAGAGCTGAAGGAGGTGGGCAGCAGCTGGAGGGCAGCTCCTCCAGCAGGGAAGAAGTGGAGGCTCCAGGCATGGCACTGCTTCAGTGAGGTAGGCGAGGGCGGCAAGCTGAGGCAGGGAGGCACCACCATGCTGCGCTGCGCCCAGCCTCCGCCTCTTCCCTGGTGCCCGTGCCGCAGTGGCCACGGCAGGCAGAGGTTCATGGTGGAGGCGGGTGAGGGCAGTGAGCTGATGCTGAGAGGTGCCACATCCAGCCTCTGCCTCTTCCCTGGCATCCTTCAGAACTTGGCGCCTTGGCGCACCGCGCCACTTGCCTCTATGGGCAAGATGCCCCTGAGAATGGTCTACCACAACTTAGGGCAGCAGGCTAGTTTCGGGTGAACAAAGCAGGTCACAAGACACACACAGGTCTATCCTT